CTGGCACAAGTCCTGTAGCCAGACCGTGCCCCTTTAATGGCTCCGGGGCTGGGAGGGGGGCAGAAGAGTTTCCCTGGTTTGGCCCAGAGTGGCCACCAGGGCAACCTGGGAAGGGCTAGCCTCCAACTAGTGGCTACACAGCCCTTAATTCGAACTACTTAATTTGAACTAGGTGTTACTCCTCATAGAAAGAGGTTTACCTAGTTCGAATTAAGCGCTCCGCTAGTTCGAATTAAGTTCGAACTAGCGGTTTGTATGTGTAGCCCCTATTAAAGTTAATTCGAACTAACGGCTGCTAGTTCAAATTAACTTTGTAGTGTAGACATACCCTATGTTAGTAACTGAAATTTTCTTGACATTCTATATGACAAGGTGATGAGGGTTGCTTATATGAGGAGAGAATCAAATAGACCTTAAGATTCATATTAGGTAAAATGCATAATGAGATAAGGAGTTAATCAGAAGATCCTTCCAGCAAGCCCAATTTCCAACAATCCAGTACATAAATGACCATTACAAGAGACTGAACCCAATTCTCTGATTTGACAGTGCCTAACACTGTAGACCACCCTGAGCCCTGGTCTACACTAGGATGTTATTTCAAAATAACCTCCCTTAGGTTGAATTCATAAGCAGGGTGTCCATACTATTAAGCCCGTTATTTCAAAATAATGCTGCTTATTTCAAAATCTGTATGCCTGCTTTCCTCGGGGAATTATGCTAATTTCAAAATAGTTATTTTGAAACAGTGTTAGTGTGGATGCTCTGGTGCTGATAATTCAAAATAATTGGCCTTAGGCGGCCTCTTATAACTGCAGCTCTGACCTCTGTGGCCACACCTGGCATCTCCACTACTCCTATCCTCCTGCGGAGGTTAAAAGTCCCGGCAGCAGGAGAAGGGCTTGTCCCATAAGGTGAGAATCCCATGTGACATAGCAGCAACCAATGCCCCCCCCTTGCCCTGCCACTAGCCAGGGACGCAGGAAAACTCCAGCCTGAACTGGTGTGGAGATCCTAGACCTCATTGAGGTCTGGGGGAGGAGACCAACCTCCAGGATCTCCGCACCAGGGAAAGGAATGCCAAAGTCTATGGCCAGATCACATCCAACCTGGCCAACAGGGCACACCACACTTAACCACTGCCAGATGAAAATCAAAGAGCTTCAACAGGTCTACCACAAGGCCAGGCAGCAGAGGAGATTCTCCATGGTGGAACCACACAGCTGTTGATACTACAATCAGCTGGATGTCATCCTGGTAGGGGGCCAGTCATGTCCCCTACTGTTGTGGTCGAGTCTGGCCAGGCCACGCCCAGCATTAGCCTATAGGAGGGCATGGAGATGCACAACAAGGAGGAGGAGGTCAACCAGGCAACCATGCCCACCAGCCAGGACCTGCTCTTCTCTCTTGAGCCAGTCCCCACCTCTGAGGATGTCTCCCAGGCTTCAGAGGAACCCAGGGAAGGCACTTCAGGTGAGTTCTATATCTTTCCCGGCTATGAGGGGCTGTGTGCTCCTCCCTCAGCGGGGGCAGCATAACAGCCTCTGCCTGTGGCTACACATGGAGCACCAGTCTGGAGCATTCAGCTCTATGATGCTCTCACACAGGAAACCCTCAGTCCTCACAAGGTTCCTGGAGAGGCTTGCCTTATTCCAGCCTCCATGGTGGGACACCTTCCCACAACAAGCTACCACTAAGAAGTCTGGGTCATAGTAACACGGTCATACCCACACTCAGGCAGCATTCACTCTCAGTCAAGCATGGTGATGCAGAGGAGACTGATCCTCTGCACGAGAACCTGCTGTGCGGAGGAAGTGGAGGGGAACCTATTAGCACTCTCTCTGGCAAGTGAAGTTTGCCACTCACCTCCCCTAACACCCTCCTCCTCTTCCAGTAGGACGTCACCAGTGCCGGACTTGGCATGTGCGGGACACCTAGGAAACCGAGCCACCTCATCCTACCCCCCTGCCCTCAGGTTCCTTGCCTGGCAAGTACCTTCCCATGCTGGCTTGTCCCAGAGCCGTGGGTGTTGCAGTGCTCCCCTGGGAGATCTGTGCCCCTGCAGGAAAGTGCCTGCTGTCTAAGCAACACATGGCCCTGTCTGAAGCACTTTGCCATCAACTGAACCAAGACCTTTGGTGTTGGCTCAGAGATTAGAGCTAGGCTTCATACACAGTGTCTTTTGTGATGACTGCCCTTGTAACTTTTCTTCACAGCTGGGCCAGCTGCAAGCTTGGTGAGTCCTCCACGTCCCATGCCATCTACCCAACTCCATGGGATCCACAGGAGGAAACACACCTGGGAGGACCTAATATGTGAGCAGATAGGCTGCCTGCAGTCTTTCCTCTGGGGACTTTAGGACAAGTGCCAGGAGCGGGCTGCCAACTGGCAGGAGCATTGAGCCAACCAAGAGGAGTGCTGAGCCAACTGAGAGCAAAGGAAGGCTGCCTGGGACCAGCTGGTGAGCCAGTACAACACCATGTGCTCCTCCCTCACCTTGGTGATGGAGCACATGGTGTCCTGCATGGAGTGGGCCACCAGCCACTCTCCACCATGGCTTCTACTAGCCTCCTCAGGGGCCTTAGACTATTGGGCAATGGGACCTCTAAGGCAGCCAAAGCATCCCGAACACCTGGAGGCAAGTGCTATTTCTAGACCAATCTTTGAGCCCCCTTCCCCATTCCAGGTTCTTTACCCAGTCCCTCCCCCATTCTATGTCTCCCCCCAATAAACAGTCCTGTTTTTATAACAAATGCCTCTATTATTTACTTTGCAGGGGAGGTGGGAAGGGAGGGATGGGGGATGAAAGGCATAAACAGGGAATTCAGGGGTGCCGTGCCTCCCACCCCCCCATTAGGGAAGCACATGGCGGCATCCCTGATGCTGTCCATGTTCCCCAGAGTGATGACTAATTTCAATGCTTCCCCGTAGTGGAGACATTTAATTTAGATTTTGTTAAATTGGGAGTTATTTTGATTTTAGTTATTTCAAAATAATTTCCTAGTGTAGACGTGCCCCAAGCTTTAACAAATCAAGGTTTTAAAAACCTCTCTCTAAATAAAAAAGTTTTTCCTGCTATGTGACTGAATGACATCATCAACCTACTTGAAAGTGGAGTCGCAGTGTCTCGCTTACTTATGCTTCAACCAGAACCAAGTGCAAAACAGATCTGTCTGTAGATCAGTCTGTAACATGCAGTACATAAGCAACAGGATTTTTTTCTATATAGCGTTGTTTGTTCACTTTCCTGTATAATTAGTGCAAGATTAACAGACTCTTGGCCAGAGTATGTGAAGAGCTCCTTGATATGTACTGATTTAGTCAGTATGTCATTGGTTTCCTTTTTCTGAAAAGGAGATAATCTCTGTACTCTGTTTATAACATTAAAAAAAATCACAGCTGAATTGGTTGGGGAATCAATGTGGTATCTTGCCTCATAGTAGGAATATAAAATCTAGATAATTTTGCTTTATCTTTTGGATATTTTTAAAGGATTGGGATGAACCTGAATACATTCTGGATACTAGTGCCGAGAAACCTGAAGATTGGGATAATGCAACAAATGGAGAATGGTATCCTCCTATGATCAAGAATCCATTATACAGGGTATAAATCATTCTATTTATGCATAACATGTTCAAGTTAACTGTTCTTTTGGTGACAGCATTCAGCCCATGTGGTTTGTTGCAGGGTGAATGGAAACCAAGGAAGATTGATAACCCAAATTATAAAGGCATTTGGCCCTATCCACAGATTGAAAACCCAAACTATTCACCAGACTTCAATATCTATAGTTATGAGAACATTAGCATCATTGGACTAGACCTCTGGCAGGTCAGTTGTTTTTAATTATTATAGACAATTGAAAATTAAAGAGCTTCCTGTCCTTCACTAAGCAGCAATGTATTCTGTCCTCGCATATGCACTTCATCTACTGAGTTGGAAGTTAGATCACACCTATGTTTTTAACAGGCCCTCATTTCAATAGCTATTTTCAGCCAAATTTATCAAATAGGCCAAACATATTCCAAATGTATTTCAGGTAGTTTTTTTGAACATTTGATCATAATTATCTCCAGATGTACTAACAAATGAAGGACCTAAACTGTTTTATAAAATGATAAATTGAATAGATGCTATTCACTGCTCTACAGCCAAAATGCTTCTGAAATAAATGTAGTCAAACTTAACTAATTCTGGGTCCCTAAGAACGAAAATGATGCTTAAAATTGTTGATTGGCTCTAGTTTTCAAGATATGCTATTGGGTCAGTATTTACGACCCTTGACTTGCGAATGGCGGAGGATAAATGAGTTATAAAGGGAAGGGATCTCAATTTAAACCAGAAATGACTAAAATACATCTTTGACTGGATCTATGAATAAATCTATGACTGGGTTTGGACAGTACTTGCTTTTTAGGCAAAACAATGAATGATGCAATCTGAAGCTGGTATTGCGTCATACATGATATGAATTGCATCATGTTATTCCTAGAAGTCATGGATGATGCAATCATAACAAAGCTTACATCATTCTGCTGAACAAATTGCCCTATATCTGCTCTAGAAATCTTACAGTGTCGTGCTCTCTTATTTGTCAGTGTTTGATTTTGCAAAGGGACACATTTCTGTTCACTGTGTGAACAGTGCAGATAACTTCTGCTATGTTTGTGGTGAAGTGACTTTTGCATCACAAAAGCGCAGTATAACCACTATGGTTAAGAAAGCCTATCACCTTTATTTTGGCTGCAAAATTGGAGATCAGGACAAGAGGTGGTCCCCACACATATGCTGCAACACTTGTGCAACAAATCTTCGCCAGTGGTTGAACAGGAAAAGGAAATCTATGCCTTTTGCTGTGCCAATGATTTGGAGAGAGCCAACAGATCATACCAGCAAGTTGTTACTTCTGCATGGTGCCTCCAGTTGGGAAAGGTGTGTCAAAGAAGAAAAAGTGGACTGTGCATTATCCAAACATTCCATCAGCTATACGCCCAGTACCCCACGGAGAAGGACTGTCGGTTCCTGATGCACCAGAATCATTCTCACTTGAGTCAGACGAGGAAGAGGATGAAACTTCTGGTCCTGAACCATCAATGTCACAGGACCCACATTTTCTCCCAGCCTTCTCCTCTGAACCACACCTCAGAACACAAGGTGAACCGAATGACCTTGTCAGGGATTTGGAACTACCCAAGAGTAAGGCAGAGCTGTTGGAATCCAGACTACAGCAGTGGAATCTCCTGGCAGGTGATGTTAGGGTTTCCATGTTCTGTGACCGTCAGAAGGATCTTGTCCCATTCTTCTTCATGGAAGGTGATCTTGTAGCCTGCAACAACATCGATGGTGTGATGGCAGCCCTCAACATCGTTCACGATCCAGATGAGTGGAGACTGTTCATTGATTCATCGAAGACGAGTATTAAAGCTGTTTTGCTGCATAATGGCAATGTTTTGCCATCAATTCCAGTTGGTCATGCAGTCCATATGAAGGAAACCTATGACAACATGAAACATCTTTTGAGGTGCATAAACTATGACCAACATCAGTGGCAGCTTTGTGGCGATTTGAAGGTTGTCTCTCCACCTCACAGCATGGCTTATCCATGGCTGACTGGGACAGAACTAGCTTGTTCTGAAGACGTGAGATCGGTCCTGCTGGGAAGTAGGAAATCTGCTACCTGGGCCATACCCTCAACTAAGTGGAATAGATTCTCACTATGGGCAGGACCCTCATATCACCCTCATCCCGCTGATCCTAGTTCATCTCCTGGGATTGAGGCTCTTTACTTCCTCGATTAGGGTACATCTGGCGGCCATGTCAGCTTTTCATCTAAGGGACAAGAGTAGATCCCTATTCACGAACCATATGGTCAAGAGGTTCCTTAAAGGGCTGGATAAACTGTTCACATACGTGAGGGCACCTGTACCTCAGTGGGACCTTAATCTAGTGCTCACCAAGCTCATGTCCCCCCCCATTTGAGCCATTAGCCACATGCTCCTTTAAACATCTCTCCTTTAAAGTTGCTTTATTGTAGCAATCACCTCAGCAAGGAGAATATCTGAGCTCAGAGCATTAATGGTAGATCCACTTTACTTAGTCTTCTCAGTGGACAGGGTAAGGTTGCGACCACACCCGGCTTTCCTCCACAAGGAAGTCCCCACTTTCCACGTGTTGCAGGACATATACTTACCTGTGTTCTTTCTGAAGCTGCATCAATCTCCCAGAGAGCAGGCCCTACACTCACTTGATGCAAAGAGGATGTTGGCTTTTTACATAGAACAAGACACTTTTGTAAGTCATCTCAGCTCTTTATTTCTTTCACAAAAAGGATGAAGGGGTAACCGCTTTTAGCCCAAAGGCTCTCTTCCTGGATCTCAGCATATATCAGGGAGTGTTATGTGCTAGCAGATAAGGAACCACTCCACATTATGGCCCATTCCACTTGACCACATGCGTCCTCAGTGGCGTTTCTGGCACAGGTCCCAATAGTTGATATTTACAGGTTGGCCACCTGGTCATCAGTCCATACGTTTACATCGCACTATGCCATTACACAGCAAGTCAGGAGTGATGTGGCCCTGGGTTCTGTAGTTCTAAATTCAATCCTGTAAAAGAGAAAAATAATATTATTTTGAATATATATATATATATATA